GTTCAGTCCTGGTTCAGTCCCGGTTTAGTCCAGGTTCAGTCCTGGTTTAGTCCTGGTTTAGTCCTGGCTCAGTACTGGTTTAGTCCTGGTTTAAGTCCTGGTTCAGTCCTGTTTCAGTCCTGGTTCAGTCCTGGTTCAGTCCTGTTTCAATCCTGTTTCAGTCCTGGTTCAGTCCTGGTTCAGTCCTGTTTCAATCCTGTTTCAGTCCTGGTTCAGTCCTGTTTCTGTCCTGGTTCAGCCTTTGTTCAGTCCTGGTTCAGTCCCGGTTTAGTCCAGGTTCAGTCCTGGTTTAGTCCTGGTTTAGTCCTGGCTCAGTACTGGTTTAGTCCCGGTTTAAGTCCTGGTTCAGTCCTGGTTCAGTTCCGGTTTAGTCCTGTTTAAGTCCTGGTTCAGTCCTGATTTAGTCCTGGTTCAGTCCTTCTTTAGTCTTGTTTTAGTCCTCGTTCAGTCCATTTTGGTTTTGGAAACAAATAATGAAGAAAATTGTTGTTTTTTGTTTCCTTATTTTTGGATTTATTTTGAAAAGTGAATGAACAAATGATACACAGATTCAGATTCAAATTTAGCTGCTATTTTGAAATTCGTATTCAAAGCACGAGACGATATCCAGATGTGTAAAACAGACTTTATTCATATTTTAGAAGGTACAGAACATAATGAGACCCAACTACTCATCCCTCCATTCAAATGTACTTATTTAGTCATATGTAATACTTTTGACATACAATACTCTTTGGCAAAAAACAGAAGATTTCTCAGTAAAATGACCACATCTCATCTGCAAATCTAAAATACATCATGATCTATGCAGAGAAACTGTTCCTGAATCAGATACAAAAATATTAGGAACAGCTGCTGACATGGTTTATATCACAGCTAGGCCAGGTCCCCCTCCACTTTTTCTTTCCATCAGTCTCAAATCAGAATAAGGCTTTAAAATACTGTAGCAGCTTTCAATACAACCAAGATTTACAATAGTATATGGCATTTATTACACTTAACTAGGCGCCCTCTAGTGGTGCAAGCTTATATTCCTGGCCTATTGCATTTTTACTTACGAAAGAAATAACAACTTTTTGTGTTTGCAAATAAAGGCTTTCTTTTTAAAACAAATTTAAAACAAAAATCTGAGCCTTTTTTCTAATCAGTAGCCAGCGTTGTGGAGTAACAGTTTACATGTACCGGGGTTACGTAATCAGAGTACAAATTATGAGTAATTGTAACCGAATAGAGTTACTGTTTTAATGTAATTGGATTACAGTTACTTTGTTGAAGTAAATGGATTACACGGCGGTATTTTCCTGTTTTCACATTTTGGGCTATATCCCTTTTTTTTTTCTTTTTTCGGTAATTGCACTCATTGCCGGACACTAAATCAGGTCAAAACCAGGTCTAAAACCAGGTCAAAACCAGGTTTAAACCAGGTCTAAACCAGGTCTAAAACCAGGTCTAAACCAGGTTTAAACCAGGTCTAAACCAGGTCTAAACCAAGACTAAACCAGGACTAAAACCAGGTCTAAACCAGGACTAAACCAGGACTAAAACTGGGTCTAAACCAGGTCTAAAACAGGATTTAACAGGACTAAATCATGTTGCATGGACCGTGTCTCCTCTTCTTCTATCAATAATATTTTTAATATGGTATAAGTAAAGTCTGGGCTTTTTTATTGTCCTTTATCAGACAAAACATCTTATGTTACGATATCCTCGTCTTTGCTTCTCTACAGCAAATCTAGTAATCCAAAGTATTCAGATTACATTACTCACTTTAAGTAATTTAATGGATTACGTTACAAACTACATTTTGAGGTATGTAATCTGTAGGGGAATACATTTTAAAAGTAAACTTCCCAACACTGTCAATATCTAATTTCTTAGCTTTAACAGATGGAAGATGTAAAGCAATCTGGACTTGCAATCTGAAGTTTGACCACCAGATGTAGCTACACTTCAACAACAAAATGCAGGACGTTCAATCCATATTAACAAAAACCTAAACAATGCATTATTATATCGCAGTTATATAGGCTATACCTTTTGACGTAATGATACTATAAAATCTCTGTAATTTAGCAGAATCGTACGGTGGAATTCGCTGTCAGATTGCAAATTTGTTGACTTTGTTTATGGTTTATATCTCTGTAACTACTGGGCCTATGCACCTGAAACAAAAACTGGCACAAAATTCAACGTCTTCTCTATCAGTACAAATAAACAATGAGCAATATTTAACTCTTGTCTAACAAAATGATTAGATAGATCATAAATATGACCAAAATAGTAAATTATATAGGTCCCTGCCCACAATTTGAGATTACAATAATATAATTGAATCGTAAAACATGATTCGATGTAGTATTTTAATACCTATATGCAGGTATTGAGAGTAAAAAGTTTCATAATGTAGCTTTAAACCCAATACAAGTGAACTATATAACATTTCGGTTTGGGGGGTCCATCACCTTTTTACCATTTTCTATAAAAATCTCATTGCTCTGCTTCGAATGTTCCACAATTTGACATTAAACAGCTCTGCCTTACATTTATTAAATTACATTTTTTTTTTTTATAGCTCAAGAATATTTAGAAAAACAAACATTCTGACCGTGAGCGGCGTCACCTCTCCACAGATCTGACCTGTAACTTGGCCCCATTTGGTCTCCATGAAGATAGAAAAGTGTAATATCATACTGTGAAACATTCCAGACAAAGCAATAACATCTCCATGGACCAAAACATATGACAGACCCTCCACTAGAAAAGTTACACAATGCAGCTTTAACTCTTAAGGCAAACAAAACTAGAAGTAGTAGTAATAAAAGTAAAATATCCCAGAATAGGCAAATACAGTCGATCTGGATATAAGCGGAGAGGGACCTGATAGCATCTTAACACCTAGACAATACTGGATCAATATCTTAACTGAGCTTGTCACAAAACACAGAGAAAGCAACATTTAATTTCATGATTGTTGAGCCAATTTACAGCAAATGACTAACAGTGCCGTCAGTTCTCTCAAATATAGAAAATGGCGTTAAATACTTAGTTCGTCTACAAAAGGTGAAGGTAGAATGTCTTTGTAATTAAAGGCCCCATATTACGCAGAATGGACTTTTGTGAGCTTTTAGGCATGTTGTAATTTTATCTCCTCAAGAACAGACCTGGATTTTGTGTTTTGTTTCATTCAGACATGTTTGAGTAACCCTGGTTTATCAGCCAGTCTACGGCTGAATCCCATTGCACCCGTCGGCCATACCACTTTCTCCTACCCCTCCGTTTTGCGCGTTCACGTGTAAGGGTAAGGGTGTCCCAGTTACCGTTATAGCAGAAGGGTAGGGGAAAGTGGTACGAAGATTTTTCAGAGGCACACTCCAAACATGAGCAATTTCAGCAGAATGTCTTGCGAATCACCGCTACCACGACCACAGAGAGAAACCGTAAAAATATGCCAACAGCCCACGCAAGAGAGACCACCACAGTTGTAAACCGCATGTTGGATTTCTGGCAAAAGCTCGTCGCGTCTGCCTACGTAGAAGCCGGTAGAGACTATTGATGACGTATGTGATTGCTGAAAGGGTGTCCCAGTTTGTAGGGGCTTATTTTCAGTCCTTTACCCCTTGTGGCTCAGTTCCAATGGGCAAGGGGCAAGGTGTAAAACTTAGGAATGGGATTGGCCCTACATCTCCAAAGCTCAAAATGCTCTGTTTGACCTTATGATGTCATGAAGCGATAGTCTTCAAGTTAACAGCTACTTTTTTTTACCTTGAAGTTCAGTAGAGTTTGACGATTCCAGGGCTGAAATCATCCAAATGATGCTTGCGAAGGTGTATAGAGTTTAAAAACACAGTGGAGTACTTCCTGTATTACCACATGACATCACAAGGTGGAACTGAGTGTTTTTGTTTGAGAGAAGTTTTGTGTTCAACGTGTGAATGAAACAAAACCAAACTCCAGGTCTGTGTGATGAGGAAACAACATTATAACATAGATCAGAAAATATCGTAATATGGGCCCTTTACGCGCAGTTCCTCAACTTTCAGTAATCTTCATTTTCAATAGTAAATACCATATTCTAATCATCAAAATCATGCATGGCTATAGTCGAAAAATTAGTTTGCGTTCAATTTGAATCTTTTCTGTACTCATTAGTAATTATTTGATGATACAAAGTCGTTTGAAAACAGTTGTTCAGTGTTTGAGGTGGGCCCAAGCCTGGATAAATAGAAATGGTTGCTTCAGGGAGGGCATCTGATGTATAAAAAGTTGATATGAATCTTTTTTGCTCCCCTATTTAACCGTTCAATGCAGTACTGTTTAAGGTGGTCGGTCCCGAGCTTGAATAAATAGAAATGGTGTCTTCAGGGAGAGCATCTGATGTAAAAAATAAATGAATAATCACTCAATTTTAATATTTATTCCCTCTTGTAGTGACGAGTAATAATTTCATGATATAAAAGTAAAGTGAAAACAACTCAAAATTGTTAAATGTTTGACGCAGTCCCAAGCCTGGTTAAATAGAAATGGTTCCTTCGGGGAGGGCATCTGTTGTATGAAATAAAGTGAAAATACAAGTTTAAAGGTGCTAACTTCTACGGTGGAGGGTCTGCTACTTCTTCGTCTCCATGGAGATGTTAATTCTTCGCCTAAAATGTTCCACAGTAGCGGATTAAACATGTCTCTTTTACGTTTGTTCAATTGCAGATGTTTTATAGCTCAAAAATACCTTAAAAAATACCACGTGCACGCTTGCTTCTCCACAGATAATAATAATAATGAAGGCGAAACAGAAATATCTCCATGGAGACGAGCGCGTGGCCGACCCTCCACCAGAAAAGTTACACAGCTCCCCTTTAAATTTACTTGATATGCATTTGTTATTACGTCGCTTCTCTTTGCTTGCATCTGTCCGTTGTCCAAAAAAACAATGACGGTTTTTCTTATTTCTGCTATTTTCGATGATATGGTTTAAGATGAGCTTCTATAAAAGTCTATGGATCTGTACAGTTGTGTTCAAAGTGCGAAAAATTCCTTGCGAAGTTGACATCCGTTCTTCCAAATACTCATAAATCTTCTATATCTCATTCCCTGTTGTTTCTTGCTCCAAAAAATAGACAATACGCAAAGATAGGTCCCATCCTCGTTGAATCTTTACACGTTTTAATATATTATTTTCTCTTACTCTGTATAATAAATCTTTTCTTTTAAATATTGTAGGTTTTAAAGTGTCCACAGACGAAGGAGGCACTGTCGTATTTCTAAAACCTGACGTTACAGTAAAATGTGAAAAGTCATGCGATTTTTTAATGGGTTTTTTCTTTTTATTTTTTTTTTTAGTTTCAAAGGCTGGTCACTCTTTATCTCCATCTTCACTGCTGCCTGGAAAACAAGAAAACAAGACTTCATTACTCATCAAGTTGCGGAATAGTTTATAAAAATAAGTAGAAGGAGAAGTAGACAGACTAATAATAATAAATAAATAATAAACACAACTCCAGGGCTGTTTTTGATGAGGTAACAGCATTATAACATGGTTTAAATCTCACAATAGTCAATTTAAGAGTCAATATAGGACTTTTAACAATGATATAAAGTTAAAAGTTAAGACAGGCTTTCTATTTATAGGCAAAACATTGAGGACTTTTCACCATTCAAAATAATTGCTATCTAAAACATCTTCATTTTTCATCATTCTGAAGTCCATGGACACATTATTAGATTTGTTGACAGTGTTGGGGAGTAACAGATTACATGTACAGGAGTTACGTAATCAGAGTACAAATTATGAGTAACTGTATTCAGTTACAGTTACTGTTTCAATGAGTGGTAATTGGATTACCGTTACTTTATTGAAATAAATGGATTACACGGCGGTATTTTCCTGTTTTCACATTATGGGCTAAACCAGAACTAAACCAGAACTAAACCAGGACTAAACCAGAACTAAACGAGAAGTAATACCAAGACTAAACCAGAACTAAACCAGAAGTAATACCAAGAATAAACCAGGTCTAAACCAGGAGTAAAACCAGGACTAAACCAGAACTAAACCAGGACTAACCCAGGACTAAATCAGGTCTAAACCAGGACTAAACTAGAACTAAAACCAGGACTAAACCAGGTCTAAACAATATGACACTAACAGAAGGATGGCCATACTTTAAGGCAGTAGTGATTTCATATAAAAATCATTTCTCTATCAATAATATTTTTAATTTGGTCAAGGAAAGACTGGACTATTTATTTTCTTTTAGCAGATAAAACATCTTATGTTAAGATTCTAGTCTTTGTTACTTTACAGCAAACAAAAGTCTGTTCATGGAGACCTGGGCTCAACAGACAATTTGAAGACAACAAACAAGAATTTTAAGGATGTGTTTGGTACATTCATGTAATTTTAAAAAGCATGACAATATCAAGTAATCCAGATTATTCAGATTACGTTACTCACTTTAAGTAATTTAATGGATTACGTTACAAACTACATTTTGGGGTATGTAATCTGTAATCTGTAGGGGAATACATTTTAAAAGTAACCTTCCCAACTCTGTTTGTTGATACATAAATTGTAAAAAATAAAACCATATTACACCTCCAATTGAATCCACATCTGAGTCGGAGATGTGAGTGATGGAGAAACGGGAAACAGGGGACGGAGACACAGTAAATCTGGAGATGGTGGGTTTGGCTGCAGGTCTGGTCTCAGGTCTGGTCTCAGGTCTGGACTCTGGTCTAGTCTCTGGTTTGGTCTCGGGTTTGGTCTCAGGTCTGGGCTCTGGTTTGGTCTCCGGTTTGGACACAGGTCTTGGTGGGAGGGGAGGAGGAGAGTCTGGGGTGCTTGAAGAGGTGGGGAGTGGGAGCAGAGAGAAGTCATCGTCCCACTCGTATCCTGCACCTGAAAAAACACAAAAACACACGCTTGAATTATGAATATTCACAACGTTATCAAGTACTATTGGGTTTAATTGTTATTGTGGGACAGAAATATATTTATTTGAAAATAAATAAATAAATAAATATTCCCTTGTATTAAGTGCCTTCATTTTTTTTATACAAAAGTATTACATTACATTAATTTCAAGATGGACTATGTAACTTTATGGTTGAGGATCAGTCACCTTCTTCTTTCTATGGATATGTCATTGCTGCTTAGAAAGTTCCACAATATGACATTATCGCACGTATCGCAATACTCAGTCATAGAACTATAATATAATAATGAATGGAAAGCCTTGTCCAGTTTTTATTATAGATACATGGACAGAGTGCGACAAATTCTTTCAGACATGGCCGCGCGCTCCAATGATGTGTTGTGTTGGTCTCCGGTGTAACTGGGCTGCTGCAGGTAGACGATTATTCCTCTAAAAAGTTACTATTCTTTCTCTAAAAATACTCTAAAGAAACTGCTATGTAAGTAACCTTTCTAGATGCCTCTTGCCTTTATGGCGAAGTGTTGTCACAAGCCTGTGTAATTTAATTAAGCAGAACTGGTAGTGATGTGACGTTCCGTGTCGAGTCTTCGAAGCGTGTGTCGAGTAGGGAGGGGGCGTTTCCGCGAAGCGCTTATCGAGGCTTGATTCATTTAGGGGAGGAGCTGAAAATGATGACGTCCGAAGCCTCGCTGCCCGGCTGTACCACGTGACTGATTCAGGAAGTGGTTCGGGTTTTGCCGCGAGTTTTGACAGCGATATAAACTGCTCAGTCTTCATTCAAAATGTGGGTGTTTGATGGAGAGTTGTGATCAGTGAGAGTTTGGAAGTTTGGAGACAGTTTAAACTCACAAAAAACAATTCTTATTTCTTAGGTAACAACCTGTGGTGTCGCCTGGATGACAGAGTCAGGCAGACACAAACACAAAATGTAATAGCAGATGCAAATATTGAGGTCCAACGGTACATGATGGAGCCAAATATTGGAAGGCTGGAGGACCCCCTTCAATACTGGGAGAGACAGAAATATGTCTATCCCCATTTATATAAATTAGCAGTGGCATTCTTGTGTACGCCTGCCTCATCTGTGCCCTGTGAGCGGGTGTTTTCGAAAGCAGGAGAAATATTGTCAAAAAAAAGAAATCACCTGAGACCTGCCACAGTGGAGAAACTGTTGTTTTAAATAAAAACCAATGATGTGTCCCCTGAACCATAATCACCCAACGTTACAAAAGCACAATCACTGTCCATACTCCAACCCCAACCACCCTCACCTCACTGTAAATGATCATTAGCTTTTTCATAATTTCCAAATAATAATTTTCCATACTGCCAGTATATATATATAAAAGTATTTATATTTATATATATATTTATATATATACACACACAGTATACATCACTACAATATACATGTTTTGCATACTTCTTTACTTTGCTGACAGTTTTATTCACAGGCTTTCTGCAAAATGCAACACACTTTAAATTCATGTCAACTGATATTTTTTGCATCCAGTAGACGTCCTACTAGAGCAAATGAAGCTTCAGGAAGCTTTGCACCAGAGTGAACCAATTGGATGAAAGGCTTCAATGCTTCATGAAGCTTCATCTGCCCATCACTAAGAACTGGTGAGTGTTAACTTTGTCTGTTGTCGCTCGGAGCTACCATGCTAATGCTAATGCTAATGCTAATGCGAGCGCTCGGGTTTAGTGCAGTGCACGCGGAGCTTTGAGCTTTGAGCTGGAGCTGTTGATGTTAAAGGAGTTATATGTATTTTGACCAATGCATTTTATTGATGTTTTTCTGAACTAATAAAACGAAGTTTGATTATGATGAAATGGTCTGCTTATACTGCTAAAGCTAATCTAAAATGAATTATTGCCTGTTGTTAATGGAAAATATTTTACCATGGAGTATTCTTGATGACAAATATTTATACATGGTTGATTATTCTTATGACTATTATGATGACAAAGTGTTTTGTGTTTGTGTAAGTGTTTTGACTTAATATAAATATTTAATATAAAGTTTAGATTTAATATAAATATTTATACATGTGTATTGATTATTATTATTATAACTATTATTATATACAAGTGTTTTTGATATAATATTGTGAAAATTGTATTTATAATGACTTAGTTGTGATACTTAATTATTGTATTACTTACTAGGCCTAGAGCTAAGGCCTAGAGCCTGGACCGAACTCAAAGAATACAAGTATCTATCAATGCGGTAGGAGGCGTTGCAGCCGCCCAACCACACACACCCACGCACACCCACTGCCGCCTGCTGTGGGCACTGGGCCCTTGTTGAACTTTGTTGCACAATAACCCCCTTGCCATATCTCTGGAAATCTCTATAACTCTTTTATGTCTTTTGTTTGACCCCCTGTGGATTATATGAACTCTGTTGCGGCTTGTGTGCTAAATAAGAACTGTAACACGTTGAACTCATGCACAACTGTAAATACTGTAAATAATGTCTGTCCACTGTAAATAACATAACTAAGCACCATAAGCCCTGTGCTTTTGTCTCATTAAATATTCCATCTACTACTACTGCTGCTATTACTGTTCCTATCTCTGTTTCTGATTGATATTGCAGCATTGTACAGGCTACAGTTGCCTCTCCATAGATCTGTCCAGTAACTTGACCTAGTTTGGTCTCCATGCTGATAGAAATGTTTAATGCCATACTGTGAAACATTTCATACAAATCAATAACATCTACATGGAGAAATGCAGGTGGTGGACCATCTAGAAAAGTTACACAATACTTACAAAGCTTTGTTAACATGAAAACTAAATGGGAAAATAAATAAGATAAATGATTTGCTTAAGGTCAACATATCATGGTAGATATCTTTCATATATTGTATCTCTTAGAATAATAGATCTTGTAACTAATATTAATGTTTTAACTGATGAAAAATTATGGTCAAGGTATGCTGAAAACAAAAATATATTCCCATGCCATGATCTGGGTCAATATTTTTTCTGTTTCTGTATCTATGATTAAAAATACTTTACCGAATGACAGTGTGACATCCAAAAGCTGTTGACTTGAGTGATCGCATTGCTTAACACTGTGGTTAAAGGGCTGTTCAAATGGAGGTGTAAGTGGCTGCACTCTAATTATACTCACTCTCCTCTGAGACATTTCCATCTGAAGAATCGTCTGAGGCATTAACACGTGAACTTTGACCTTCTGAAGCCAGGGCGAATCCGTGCACAGCCAGCTCTTTAGTGGGACTCTCCTACGGATAACAGACAAACACCAAAGGATTAGAAATAACACACAAATAAATAAATAAGTAACTTAGAATCCAGAACATACCTATTAAAACAGTGTATGTATATTAAGTTTTGAATATGAGTTATTAATCATTTGTGAATATAACTAATATATATAAGTTATAGGTAATCTTGCAATTTTAATTTTTCTGCTTTATACTGTAAATCAGACCAACACAAAAGCTTTTCCATTTAATTCTGTCATCCCCACAAACTGACCAATTAAAGGTGCACTATGTAACTTTTCAGGAGGGGTGTCTACCACGTGTTTGTTGCCTGAAATATTCCAAAGTATGACATTAAACAACCTTCCGAGCTTGAATTTATTGCAGGTGTTTTTGTTATCCATAAACGCACTGAAAATCTGCATTCTTACTGTTAGCAAGGTAGTCACTTTTCCATAGATCTGACCTGTGACTTGGCCTGTTGACGAGCTTGGTAGGGTGACTAGAAGCCCCTATTTACCCGGGACAGTCCCAGTTTTGTGCCCTGTGTCCCCTGTCCCTGCAGATTTATACAAAACAAGAGATTTGTCCCGGTTTTATCAAGAAATGTCCCAGGTGTCCCTATGTTTTAACCAATTTGATCTAATCCAGGAATAAACTAAGACTAAACAGGACGACATAAGGTCTAAACAAATCTGGCAAATCTTGACAAATCTGATACCTGCCACCAGTAAAAAGGAGCATAAATTGTAATTTGTTTGCCAAAATACAGAAAACCATGTTTGTTTATGACTATAAAGCCAAAAAAAATAAAAAAAATGTCCCTTTGCTCAGATTATGATTGACACAATTTCATTTATACCAACCATCCCAACCCGGGTGTGTCCCAGTCTTGAATTTTGAAAATCTCATCACCCTACTTCATGGAGGTAAATAAGCTTAATGCCATACTGTGAAACATTTCAGGCAAAGCAACAGCATCTCCATGTAGACCAGCACGTGGCGTACCCAGAAAAGTTGCATAGTGCACCTTTAATACATAATATAAACTGAGATATCACAACAGCTTCTCTGTACTCACCTGATCAAACAAGTAGACGGTGACATCGTCAAAGAAGGACACTGTTTTCCTCTTGCGGTCCAGTTCTTCCTGTATGCTCTCTGTTGTTAGCAGAGTGGGCATCTTTAGGAGACTTTTGAGATTGTGAGCGTCACTGTCGTCGCTGATTATCAGAGGAACGGCGTAGCACTCATCCTCGCTGTCCTCTCCTCCGCTTTGTTCGTTAAAGGTTCGAACTTCTTCTTCTTCTGAATCATCACTGTCTGTTTCCTCTTCGTAGTCGTATGTGTCTGTGGCAGGAAGAGGTGGAGGTGGAGTAGAGGGAGACGACGATGACGATGAAGATGACAAACGCCGAATGTGTGCGTTTTGCTGTAACGCAACTTCGTCTTTGGGCAAAATGTGGATCATCTCACTAGCGCCCCCTGAATTATTTTGGCATTTTATTGACTTTACTTCTTCTGTTGTTTCATCTTTGCTCTTTTCTTCAACATCATCTTTGATATTGGAACCTGAATCCACATTAAGAGCACCAATCGCTTCCTCCATGGCGCCCACCACTTCGGCCGCCCAGTCCCCAAAATTTGAAGCTTCTTCTTGGGATGGCCATTCATCCAATGCCCCCTCTACTGAGTCTAGCTCCAATAAGTTTCCTTCAGTTTCTTGGTCTACTTTTAGGTCTTTATTGGCTTCAGCATCCAGAAACCCCTCTCCTTCTTGGGTTTTGCTTTCTTCAATTTCAGTTTCCTCTTCCCTGCTTCCTTGTAAATCGTCCTTTGCCTGCCGCTCGATCTCGCAGTCTGAAAAATACGCAGAATCTCGATATGGCGTGCTCTCGCTTAATGGTTGCAACGTTTCCTCACTTTTTTGAGGAGTTTCCAGAACTAAATCTTGATCTAATTTTGCGTCATCCTCTACATCTTCAATCTGAAAGTCCTTAACGACCGCCTCAGCTTCCTCAAGACTTGCGTTCAAATTATTCATTGCTTGGTCTCTGGTTTCGTGAGGTTCTTTGGGGACAAATTCTGGACTTTCGTTGTTTTCCGTATCATATCCACTGTCCATAGCTTTGGGAGAACTTGACGGGTGAGACGAAGCGGGACTTAAACCTTCACAAGATCCAGCTGTGGAGGGTAAGTCCATAGAATCCATGGAATCGGGGGTACCGACTTGTTTTTGAAGCGATTTGAACGCAGGAGAGACGGTCATTTCGCTAGATTCATCAACAAAAATACCAGAAGTTATGTCAGTAATATCATCTGTGGTGTCTTCCTCATCTTCATCGCTGCAATCTAAAATATCGGCAAGGCTAACGCTCGACCTACCACCATCCATACCACTATCAAGATTCTGACTCAGCTCCGACTGTGGATCTGAAACCATTACGTGCATGTTATCCGCAGGAGGTGGCGACTTCTGGGCAAGAACGATATCCTCCATCTTGGCTTCAACTTGTTTATGCGCAATCTCCTTGACAACATCATCCCTCCTCTCTTTCAAAGGCGTATTATCGCAAGAAAGCTCCACATACTGCTCTTCGGCGTCCACCATCTTGTTATGGACAAGTTTGGGAACAACTGGACCCCCCGGAGCTGGAGACAGATTGATCATTTCGTCGTTAGATTGGACGTCGGTGGCTTTGTCTTGTGTGTAGCTGCTGTGAGGGGTATAACTATGGATGAACGCGTTGTTTCGCACCAGCAGGCCAGTAAGCGGGTCGATGAAATGGGAGTGGCAGCATTCCGAAGGATTTTCACTTTGATGGCACAAGTAGACATATGCGTCGTTGTCTTGGGGCACTATTGGACGGTGCTTACTTAAATTAAGGCAAGCGCTGTTGTCTTTTCCCAGGCGAGGTTCGAGGTAGTCCACCTGTTTCGGCAAGGAATGGTACGCTTGGATGTTATGCTCTTCTGGCCATGAGTCTTCAATGTCGGTCGTTGGCATTGTGTAGTGGAAATCGACGTACGCATCTTGTCGACAACTATGGCTGGCGCGTCTGTTGTGGTGGTTGCTATGGCGATGTTTCGAAGGCCATGTGTTGCAAGTGTGTCGTTCTATAAATATATCTTCTTCGTCATCTTCTGTTTCGCTGTCTTGGTGTCCGATGTAAAGAGCTCCTTCGGTTTCCATGTTGATGCTGAGGGAGTTGTGTTTCGTATGGCTTGGCATTGTCTTTCTTAAAGATCCCATCATATCATAGTATCCGCCGGTCATATTTTTCCCAATTACAGACGCATGGGTCGTGTCCAGATATGTGTCTCTAAATGCTTGTTGCGGTGGCGTACTCGCCGTGGGGGAAATACGAAGTGGACTTTCGAAATCGCCCAAAGCTTGACGCAAACTTCGAGACCCCCAGCTTTCTTGATGATGCTCCCTTCCGATCAAATACAGATCTGGCGGCGATTGCTCGTAGTAGTATCCGCCGTCTTGGTCTTTGTAGGAAACGTAGTGACTGGACTGCCATGGTTGTAGCGGGCTGGCGTCAGAAATTTGTCCCATTAGCGGTTCCATCGTCAAGGATATGGCTGGACTTGAGTCATTTGAATCGTAAACTTCAGATTTATTCGCCGTCCAGTAAGGAGCCATGTTTTTTTGCGAGGGACAAACGATACACTCTGATTCGGCACTACCTGTCAAAAAGCTACCACTGCTACCTTGGTATTCAGGACTATACGAGCACATTGTATAATCAGGATCCATATTGCAGTCTACTGGCTCTTCAATCCGTATGTAATACTCACTACCAACTGACGGGCTATGGGCACTCAAAACAGGAAGTACACTTGGAGCGTGGAGGTGTTTTGATTGGTAGTAAGTGGGCGGAGAAACACCATGGCTCATGTTGTCAGATGGGCAGCTTCCAACTATGCCCCCTGGTGGGTAAAATGTGTCTTGACAGTGATGGTCGACTTGGTTTACAGACTCGGCCGCTCTGGCTTGCTCCCATTTGTACTCAAAGTTTAAACCATGGCTCGTCTCTGTCACGGTTAAAATGTCGTCTCCCGATTCAGAGTGGTAGCCGTCCCCGGCAGTAAAGTTCTCAAGGAGAGGAAAGGAGGAGGACGAGGGGGCATGGTGGTCCCGGTTGGAGCTACAGAAAGCGGTATGGCTGTTGTTGGGGCGGAGGGAGTTCCAGCGGCGTTCAAACTCCTCCTCGGCTTCGCTGGCTCCTTTTGCACAAAGGTAACTGAGAAGCAGGTGCACCTCTTCGGCTGTGGGGCGCTGGTCGGGCTGCAGCCAACAGAACTGCATCACCTCGTACCTGAACACAAACAGATCAGAATTAGGGCTATGATCAAAACTATGTCTTTGCGATGATAGATGAGACAATTTCAGTGTGTGTTTTTAAAGTTATGTCATATCCTTATGATTTGGAACAACACAGGAACTTTGGGTCAATTAATATAATAGTGTGAAGCTTAAAATCACACAAAATTGATTCAGATCTTTTAGTCATGTTGTAATGATCAAAGACATACTCAGAGTTGTGTTTAGTTTCATTCACACGTTTGAGTAATCCTTTATTATTAGTCTGTCTACATCTCCAAAGCTCAAAATGCTCTGTTCCACCTTGTGATGTCAGGAAGCGGTAGGTTTCAAGTTAACAGCTCCTTTTACCTTTAGTTCCATAGAGATGGGCAATTCCAGGGCTGAAATTATCCAAATGATTCAAGTGAAGGTTTATAGAATTTAAAAATAGTGGAGCACGTCCTATATTACCACATGAAATTACAAGGTGGAGAGTGTTTTCCATTTTGAGAAGACTTCAGCCTAAATATACAGGCTTTTTGTGTTCAATGTGTGCATGAAGCGAAACAACTCCAGGTTTATTTTTGATCATACTGTAAATATTTTCTTAACATGAGGGCCTGTTTACACGAGAATGCTTGCGGGTAAAAACGACAAAATATTTTATTGGAAGAGCCTTTTGTTTAGGCGGTGATGGCGTTTTTGGGGTTTAAAAACGCCAAAATCTGAAACCACACTCCAGAGTAGAAAAGCTGAATATGCTCCGCCGTAGCGTTTCCATCTACACTGCCCAAGACGCAAAACTCTGGTCAGATCTGCTCATGTCGCATACGCGTTTACGTCACATGCATCGCCAACTAGAGTCACCACTGAGCCATCTACCACGCATACCCAATCGAATTCCACACACTTTGCATCACCGTATGCAGGCAGATTTCCTCCCGAAAACACTCGTCTAAATGTGGAATTAAAAAGTGAAGACGCGACGGCACTTTTGCGTCTTCTGTTCAGACCGTCATTGTATAAACGTAGCCTTAGTATGAAAAACTTGCAAGTCATTCTATGGGTGAGCTCTGTAAGCTCAAATACTGATTTTGTGCATTATATTCAGACAATAATTTTGGGTTTATTACATACACAACATTATTTTTGGTTGTACTTTAGATTAATAGCAATTAAAATAAAACCAAAATCACTTTCTAGTTGCGATATGTTATTTGCAACTCCTCAAAAATATTTAGATAACAGTCTCTGTCGTCCATCTCTTTAGTTTAGTTTGGACCAATATATAAATATGTCTGCAATTCATGCAAAACAGTTCATAACATTTTCGTCTTCTCTTTCTGCTGTAAGGAGTAACCATAATACTTTTCAGAAAAATCACAATTAAACATTCCTCCAAAACATTCACCCCAAACTAAGTGGAGTGTGACTTACCAGCGCTCGGACAGTGGCACTTTGAGCAGTGGGCGGGGCAGTCTCAGCTGTTGTTCCCTCACAGCGTAGGTTAGCACCTGTCTGTCCGAGTAGTGTCTGTACGGCTGATTGGCCAATTCAAACAGCTCCCAGATCGTAACGCCCAGAGACCTGCACAGATAAATATTAGCCCCTAAACTCTTTTTACCACCACATAGACCCAGAAAAAATACATAACTCATTCAAATCCAACTGAAAAAGCACAGGCGTGTAATAAGACCTGGAAAAGGCACTCCTAGTGGCCGCTCCAGGTACTGCATCTCCAACCTGGGGAGAATTATCCCATGGAGCACAATGTATTTTTCTTTGGGAATTCAACCTGCTAGTGTTTTGCTAACAGGACATCAACAGCCTTGTCTGACTCATCAGCCGCTTTCATTTCGTAGAAACCATCTAACCTCGCAGCATTAGAATTCATTGGCTCGACCGTAGCCAGGTACTTTTTTTCATTTAACCAATCGCTGCTATTTGGTTGTGACGTATGTAATGCATCGCTAACGGGACTAACTGGTATATTAAGCTTTTCCAAAATCCCGTAGGAAGAAGGGCAATAACGTCTTTCCCCTTGATAAAATTCACCAAACATTCTCTTTGTTCTGGCTTTAAACTCGATCTCGGGAATCATTGTCTACACAAAATGTATGGCTCTTCGCTGATTGGCTGGTGCCTGGACCTTCCACTTCCGGGGTTTTTGCGAACCGTCTACTGCACAGGTGTCAAACATACGGCCCGGGGGCCAGATGCGGCCCTCCAAGACCTTTAATCTGGCCCTCGGCTGGTTTTCTACTAAAATATTTAAATTATATTTTTTATTAAAATCTTGTTAATTTTCTGTGGTGTTTATCACAGCAGCGTCTCCAGCGTCTCTGTACGTGGCCCCTCCCACCAGAGCAGCACAAATGAAGACTTGTCTCTTTCCAAACGCTCTTAAAGGACGATCGTTTTGACTGTTGACCGTGACACCCTCATCAGAAAAATGTCCAACATGAGAAAAGTGGAGCCGAGTGCAGGATTTTACAACAAAAATTGACTTATTCCTATTTATACAAGTTAATGTTAAAACATTGTGTTGAAATTACATTTTTCAGGTTTCAAGTTTCAGGTTGTTCATAATATTATAATATTATAATAAGAAAGAGTTCATCAATTAAAAAAGATTTCTGTAATAGATTTGTGTTTCTCTGCACAAATATTTGAACTTATTGTTATTTTTGGGGTTTATATGATATGAGTTTTCTGATCCGGCCCCTTTGGGATCAAAGTCAGTTGGATACGGCCCCTGGACCAAAATGAGTTTGACACTCCTGGTCTACTGTATTCCGATTCCTGATCTAGTTGCTGGAGAGAAATGAAATTGAGTGGAGGCACTAGGTAGCGCCAGCCTGACTATCAACATCCTACCAATTTCTCTAATTCTCTTTCTTTTTTTCACAACATGAACTTTGAAAATTGTAAGTAATCAAAGCGTCTACAAGTGACCTTTCTAAGATTTAGTCTAGCCATCCCACATGTGGGAGGAGCTAGCCCCTATTGAAGAAGTAATGCAGAAGAAGCCCATGAGTACGCCAACTGAAAACAATACAATGCCATCTGGGGTTCACCTGTCAGATTTTATTAAACCTCCAATGGTGTTTACCTATCTACTAGTTTCATAACACTTATTTTAGCATTTACAGTATTTTCTAGTATTATTATCATGTGATTTTACCATATGTTGCTCTGTAGGGTCTGATCGGCCACTAGAAGGTTTCCGTGCACTTCGTCGATAAGTTCAGGAGCGATCCATCTCAAAGGGACGTACATCTGATCTGAGGTCACGTAGTAATCGTCCTGAAAAATAAAAATGTATAATGTGAATATAGAGTTGTAGCAGATTAATTAGAAAAGAGAATAGAATAATAACAGAGTTGTAGTTCAAAAAGTTACGCAGTGCTGCTACTGGTCCTGCATTCATTCGTCATTATTATTATTATTTATTTGTTATCGGGTTCAGATATTGAGTCAGGATTTTGGTCAGGAGTACCAGGAATTTTGAAGAAATTAGAATATGTGCATAAGACCAACCCACCAGAGGAAAGAACATGCAAAGTCCACACAACTCTGGAAATTGAACCTGAGACCTTCAATTTAAGTTATGATTATAGTTGCGTGCAAATACCTTGTACTTTGCGTGGGACAGCCCGTAGTCTCCAATCTTCACCGAGACATCAGCAGTCAGCAGACAGTTTCTCAACGCCAGATCACTATGTCAAAGAAATATAGCATCAAAGGTCCTATATTACACAAAACTGACTCCTGTGAGCTTCAAGTCATGTTTTAAAGTTGTTACTTCCTCAAAAACATACCTAGAGTTGTGTTTTGTTTCTTTTATTATTAGTCTGTGTACATCTCCAAAGCTCAAAATGCTCTGTTCTACCTTGCGATGTCATGAAGTGGTTGATTTTAAGTTAACAGCCATTTTATTTTTACTTTTAGTTCACTAGAAATGGGCAATTCCAGGGCTGAAATTATACAAATGATTCTAGTGAAGGTGTATGGAGTTTAAAAACACAGTGGAGTGTTTTCTGTTTGAGAGAAAAGGCTCCTAAATATGCAGGGTTTGTGAGTTAAACATGTGTGAATGAAACAAAACACAACTCCAGGCATATTTGTGATGAGAAAACAACATTATAACACACCAGAAAACAGCATAATGTGGGCCCTTTTTAAAATAAAATACTCTCCAGTGAAAAATAAAAATAAAGAAATGCACTGTAGTTTAGTCAGTCTTGGAGTCAGAAGTAATCGCCTGCAACAAAATCACTGATGCTGGAGTTTTGAGCAGTACTCGGGCAGCATCAGGATATTGTTTCAGGAAATCACCAATTCAGTTTCTTTCTGTCCATTATTACATCACGATTCACTGCTAACTGAGTCAAGCCATTTGCCCTCTAACAGAATGGTTTATGGTTTCATTCCCTGCTAACAGCTACGCCTGTCATGATAACAAGTTTTAAAGCATGGCATATTGCTACAGATATATACTGCGATAAATTATAATAATGAAACTATGGCGAGGAGAAATTCAGTTTGTCGACTGGGCAAAATTTCGTTTGGTTGAAGACGTTTCGCAGCTCATCCAAGCTGCTTCTTCAGTTCTAGTCAGAATGCTGGTGGACACTTCCTTATATCAATCTAACTAACTACTCTGAAACTAACACACCTATTTGTTTACAGTTTCTGTTAGTTAGTTAGTTAGCCCTATTGACCTGTGCAGGGAGTGGGGTCTAATTAACATAAACATTCATGGCCATAATGGAGCTTCCACACCTCTGGACCTGACCTGGCTACACCTGTTGTTCTCTTGTTTGTTTTGATTTAGGTTTGAGGATGGAGTTGTAAATAGGAGATAGATGGTGTCTGAGCCCTCCATTTCTGTTTAGACAAGGATTCTCTTTCTTAACAAAAATTGCTTCTTTTACTCCCCTCTCAAACCAGTTCTTTTCTCTAGCTAAAATCTGTACCTCGCTGTTCTCAAATGAGTGACCCTTGGCTTTTAAGTGGAGATGTACAGCAGACTGAGGTCCTGTGTTGCTCTCTCGTCTGTGTTGGTACATCCTCTTGTGAAGTAGCTGTTTAGTTTCTCCTCGCCATGGATTCTACCTGGACGACTGAGGGATTCTTCACAAATATTGAAACTACTTTGTGTCACTGATACAATAACAATAATGCAATATAATCTTCGTAAACCATTTTTCATTAAGCAGTATGAGCTGCAACCATACACTGTAAAGAAGTGGACTAAGGGAGTGTGACGTCACCCATAGTGTTCAGCTCCAGTCAAATGAAGCTCACGAGGCCAGCAGTTATAGGAGCGAATTTGAAGCAATATTAGGAATAGGAATTTATTTACAGACAAAGTAGCCAAATAAAAAAAAACACCAGGATTACGTAGAGCAGTTTAATACAAACATTTAACATGAAAATGAAAAGGCTCACTGCAACTTTTATTAGGGATGTGACGATAACTGAAATATCGTGATATTGTATCGTCAGAAGTCTCACAATAATATCGAGAGCTGTCACAACATATCGAATTACAAGTTCCTTTGCTTAAATGTGTTGTTCTTTAATAGGAACAGGTAATAAACATAGGGAACTACATATCCCATGATTCATTTCAGCACAGACAACATGAAGAAATGTGTTTTTTACTTGAATTCTTGAGATTCTGACAGCAATAATTCGCACCAAAATCTTATCAAGGTATTTTAAAAGCAAAAAAAAAAGTGGCCTATCTAGAATTATATTAGCCTCTCTCGCAATAATTGTTGTACTGTGTGATGCATATCATGATAATAACGTACCGAGAGATTTCAATATCGTTACATCCCTAGCGTTAATAGAGAGAGGGGCGACCATTTTTCAAAGTACAGTCAATTGGAGCCAGAGTCGATGGAGCCAGAAGCACCCCCATAAACACTTCCTATTTATGGCTGCAACAAATAATGAACCAATAAATAGCCATAAAAAAGTTAGTTATTCAACCCTGTACAGCTCAAATCTTATCATATTACAACAAAAATACCCCAAATTTTCCCACTTTTGCGAAGAAATTGTTCACACAACAAACTCTAAACCCTAAAATATATTATTACAGGTTTCATATCTTTATTGACAAGTGAATATAGTATTTATCGTATTGTTTTTTATGTTTATGTATACAACATTAGTGTCATACCCGTGAGTGAAGTTGTGTTTGTGCATGTGCATCAGTCCTGAGGCGATGTCACAGGCCATTCTCTGGAGCATGAGGGGTTCAGGGGTCATGACCTCTGACCCTCGGCAGCTGCGCAGGTAACCCTTCACATCGCCCTGGCAACAACACAGATAAATGGTACATGGACTCACCACCAGGGGGCAGCATAACACACCTAATTTCCTTTGTATTAATAGTTTCTCGTTACTACTACTCTTTGGATTTTCAAAGTGGTCCACAAAAACAGGTCAGGTCATTTAAATAAATTATTTTAGTAGAATCAATTGTGTTTATTTATATTCTTAGTAATTTACTCTAATAGAAACAGTACATAATAAACTGTAAATGTATCAGCGTTCGGTATAAATGTTTCAACTCCAATTCAATAACAACAGTAAGTCAATATTGTCATTAAAAGTTGGTAATTAATAAATATAAGTCTTGCAAATCAAAGATGCATCACAGTGGCCTATTATGTTTCAATGTCCGGCCACTAGGGGTCAGCAAACGCAACGCACAGAGAATAAGTAACGGGTTTAATTAAATTTACTTCACGGGTTTTCCTCAAGTGACACATATATATTTCAGTTACATTGATTTTAGTGGCGATAATTACTCACCAGGGGGCAGAACTCCATGACGAGGAGGTAGGGCGTGACCTCTGTGCACTGGGCCAGACACTGCAGTAGAGCCGGGTGCTGCAGGGATCTAAGGAAGGATACACAAGCAGGATAGATTGGATATGAAATATTGTTGGAGGTAATTGAGGAAAATTGTGAAAAAGGCTACTACTGCTAGCTGTTATTGTGTACGACAAGACTACAAATGTATCTTTAAAGAATTTTACAGTCGCCTCAGAGTGTAAGAATTTGTCCACACAGGGAATAACATTTAGTATATTTATTCACTGTACTTTGACATTTTATATAATATTTAGCTTTTGGTTTAAGGGTTCAGGGGGCCCATGTTTTATCCATATTTTCTGAGCTGTTTTATAATGTTGTTGTTTCCTCATTACCAACAGACCTGGAGTTGTGTTTTGTTTCTTCCACACACGTTTATCACATAAAATCCTGCATATTTAGGTTGAGTTCTTTTCTCAAACAGAAAACTTTATATAATTTCACTAGAATCATTTGGATCATTTCAGGTCAAGACTTTCCAATCTCTCCTAAACTAAAGGTAAAAGGAGCTGTTAACTTAAACGGCTACAGCTTCATGACATCACAAGGGGGAACAGAGCATTTTGAGCTTTGGAGATGTAGACAAACTAATAATAAAAGCAAACATGTGTGACTGAAACAAAACTCTGTTTATTTTTTGATGAGGTAACAGCATTATAACATAACATAAAGCTCTATATAAGACCTAGAAGGATTAATATATGTCTCTGTACCAGGAGTCTCTAGCCTTTTTCCTCTGGTGAGCTACTTTTAAAAAAACAAAAATGCCAGTGAACTGTTAGTTTTAGAGGACACAAGAAATTGAGTAACTATAAGAGCCATGACGAGCCTTAAATGAGATACAGTTAAAAATGTGCGAACAATCCCTCAGTCGTCCATTTAGAATCCATGAGGAGAAAATTCAGTTTGTCGACCGGACAAAAGTTAGTTTGGTTGAAGACGTTTCGCAGCTCATCCAAGCTCTCCTCATACAGTTAAAAACCTGTAACATAAACCTTCCATTTATCCATTTACAGGCATCAGAATGATACATGTACAATGGTAAAAGTGATTTAATTAATCATTTTACTTATTCAGCACCATACATGTAATTCAGAAATCATTTCTACCGAGCTGCAAGTTGGAGACCCCTGCTCTACACAGTATTGTATTATATTGTAGTATTGTCTACAAAATAAGATGCAATGACATAAAAGTGTTTATTGCAAAATTAGATTAGTTCCATTACTAAAAATAAGAGACTTATCTTTTGCATTTAAGTGATTTTGATGGTCCAAATGATTTCCCTTCAACTACAGTTTTAATTAAAATATATAAAAATCATTGAAATTGAAATCACTGCTTTATTTTTATCATTTCTATTTTTTACCTAAATGCCTGAGCCTCCTCCAGGAAGTGCATCTGGTCATGAACTCCAGCGCTGGACTTGAGTTCCTTGATCACGACTTGAGTGGTTTTCAGTCCGGCGTGCACCTCCCCCAGTAAGACCTGAGCAGAGACACGGAGACACATGGAGACAATGGACATACACACCAACGGGACAATATAAAGATGTCACACGGACACACAAACGTACACGCACATATATGAGACACACAGTAAAGACACGACAGATGGACGTACCAGTCACGGATGAAAAGACCATTCATGAGATGGGACGGACAAGAGAGAGACATGAGTTGAAGTCAGTAATTCAGGTTTGATATAGAGAAAAAAATGACATTATGCTGTATATTTCACTAGAGCAAAATATAGAAATGTGTTACTAAGAAATATGGCAAAGCAAGAATTCATGTAATATTAAAATTTCATCTTAAAGGGCCTATGTTATGCTGTTTTCTGATCTGTTTAATGATGTTTCCTCATCACAAACAGACCTGTAGTTGCGTTTTGTTTCATTCAAACTTGTTTAACACACAAACCCTGCATATTTAGGCTAAGCTCTTCTCTCAAACTGAAAACAAAATGCTCTGTTCCAGCTTGTGATGTTATGTGGTTATTAGAGCTGGGTATCGTTAAGAAGTTGCTGCTACGATACATACCTCCATACACGGGCCACGATACGATACGTTTTTCGATACAGTGCACTTTCGATTCAGTATGATTTGGTACTATATATTTCAAATCAATTCAACACGGTTCAGTGAAAAAAAAAAAAAAAAAAAAGGCTAGATCATGGCTGTGATACTAAAAGTCTTTATTAAACCACAAAGTGTGTGCAAAGTTAATATGAAAAACGCCCATTTTACTCAAAACTGTGAAAATGTCAACACAGCTGTAGCTTTTAGACAAAATAATTGAGTAAAACATACCTAAAAATACTCTTGGTGATATATCGATACAGCAGCCCAGGATATTGATACTGTATCATCACATAAACGAAACGATATATCCATATTTCAGTATTTTTGCAGACCTCTACTGGTAGTAGGGGAATCATTTGAATAATTTCAGGACTGGAATTGCTGATTTTTACTGAACAAAAGATAAAAAGGAGCTGTAAATATGAAAAAACAAAACAAAAGAACATTTCATGACAAGGTGGAACAGAGGATTTTGAGCTTTGTGAATGCAGACAGACTAATAATGGGTTTCTCAAACCTATCTGAATGAAACAAAACACAACTCCAGGTCTGTTTTTGATGAGATAACAACATTATAACATGGGTTAAAGCTCACAAGAATCAATTTTGCTTTAAACAATGAATAAAATCATGATAAACAAAGACTAAAAGTGTTATTAGGTCTAAACCAGGGATCATACTAGATTAAACAAGGCTTAAACAGGTCTAAATCATAACTATACAGAAGGCAGTGAAGGCATCAGCAGTCCTACAGTGTCCTATCACGTGTGGTGCGTTCAAAGACCTACCTTCCCAAACCAGCCATGTCCGATCTCCTTCAGGTAAAGCAGACTGTGGCGACTCAGGTCCGAAGACTTCAGGAGTTGGACTAAAATGAGAAAAAAAAATAAAAATAAGAGTTAGAATAAAGTTTACAATATTACAGATCTTTTCCTTAAATAAGTAACACCTCATTATGGACCCTTCTGTTAAAGCTGCACTGCGCAACTTTTCTGGTGGAGGGTTCCGCTACCTGCTTGTCTCCATGGAGATTTTATTGCTTTGCCTGGTTCCGTGGTGTGACATTAAACGTATCCATGTAGCATTTATCAATTACGGGTGTTTCTATTGCTCAAAAATGCAACTTGTAATGTAGTGTAGTGCTGTAACCTGCTGGTCTCCCTTGTGATAGATGAGTTTAATCTATACTGTGGAACATTCTAGACAAAGCAGTAACATTTCCATGGAGGCAAGCAGGTGACAGATTTACCACTAGAAATGTTCCGCAGTGCACCTTTAAATAAGACTGTATGATTCTTGTGGCTGTATTTTACTATGTACTATGAAGAGACAGGTGTTCATAATGTAGAAAAAGATAAAAATGCAGTGAGTGTGAGACTGAGCCATCTGGTTAGGATGCTGCTGAAAGGATTTGCAAACGAAGAGAATTTCCGTGTTCTATTTGTTGTTTATTATACAACGCAGAGAGAAAAGAAAAGATTTTGTCTGACATGAAGTTTGGTGTTTAGTTAGTTATGTTAAAGGTGCATTGTGTAACTTTTCATCATTATTGCTTTGCCTGGAATGTTTCACAGTATGGCATTAAACCTTTCTAGATTCATGGAGGCGAGAGCTGGGCAGTAATACAGTATTACAGTATCCCGCGGTATCAAAAAGTAGCAACAGTATCAGTTTCATTACCGTCATTAAAAAAATCTGCAGTGCATAAGGACCTGATATAATATAATTTACTGATACCTAAATTTGTTTGCTCAGCACAAATGAATGTGTGGTTGTATTTTCAGTTTAATGCTGTAAAGATTTAAAACTAATAGTGTCTGTAATGTTTCTTTTAACTGTGTGGGGAGATGAAGTTCGATTAGTTTTGTTCTGTTGTCACATGATGCTCATGAGGGAGACCAAAACGAGATGGCAAGTCCAACCGCGAGCGAGTTGGTCCCCCCCCCCAAAAAATACTAGTACTTCTGCACATTTGTTTACGTTTTATAGAAACGAAACTTAAAACCACATGGCTCATTTGCATAAACTGTACCGCGCTGATAAAAACAGCTCACTGCGCTGATGTGGTTCAGCTTCTGTCGGACTAAAGGACACGACTCAGTGGAATATGACTGTTCTTTCTGTGACAGAGGATGTGCTGCTGATGGTGAGTCTGTTCTGTGTGTGTATCGTGTTGGAGATGGTTCATGTGAAGCTTTTCAGAGATTATACGTCTGCAGGTCGTACTGAAACATTTTGATAATACTGTAATACTGTATACCCTGGTAAAATCCTGAGAGGGTTTAAGGGAATCAAAATTTGGATTCTGCCCAAACCTAATGGAGACTAAACCCCGCTCACAGTCAGAATGCCTGTTTTTGTACGTATTTTTGAGCAATAAAACCACCTATATTTGAATAAATGTACAATAGAGCTGTTTAATGTCATACTGTGGAACATTCCAGGCAAAGCAACAACATCTCCATGCAGTCAAGCAGGTGACGGACCCTCCACCAGAAAAGTTACACAATGCACCTGTAAGTTATGGTAATATTATTGAAATAGCAAATTGTTGTAGTTTTCCTTGTCATTTTTATTAAAAGAGAAATACCAAAACACACGTTATTAAAACTACAAAAGTCTAAATCTTTACATTTTCGTCCTAATTTTTAATCTTGAATCTCATTCCTGATTTAATGTATGCAGGAATTATAAATCTAACCAAAAACGAATCAAAAATAATACAGTCTTTACTACACATTCCCAAACCACATGGCTTAGTATAAGGTCTATGTTTTGTATTGACATACCTTGACTGACTTCATCTCCTCAAATCCCAAATCCACCAAGTTTCTCATCACTTTGAACAAGGATTCCCCATTATAACATTTTCCACATTAAAAAATCTGAACCCAACTACCACTCCAGCTACGTCTCTTCTAGTTGTCCACTCCTCGTTTGACCCAATCTCAAATATCTCAAATGCGTCTATGTGTCTGTGCGTCCCTCCACAGTTGTGCCTTTGTATCGGGGACAGTTCATTCTCTGTCTGGACGAGATCTTTGTCACTTTCCCCGCTCCCACTCGGCCACTGTGACCGTGTGGCACCATTTAAGACCCACTATGGCCAAACACAGGGCCTATTATAAAGCCTATGTACAAGTATGTGGAGCTATGGGCAAACGCCTCCACGCTGCATTTGAATCAGAATGTGAGAGTACGAAAACACAGACATTTGGTGAAGAAGAAAGAATATATTTGTGGAAAGTCACTGGGAAAATATTGTTAAAATGTCGCCATCATGAATAGTTTAATTTTGAGCAAAAACAAAATTATTGTTTCTAACTAAGTGGTGTCCTCTTTCACCAGCAGGACCCTCTCAGTAGAAAAGTTGGTCTAGAATAATCCGTCAGTTGACTTTATACTAGTAAAATTAAAACTTTACGTAACTAGACACTGATTTTTTTGTTTTGTTTTATTGCAAGCCAAGTTTATAATCACATATACATTGAAGCAGAGTGGAAAACATATTTGCGGGTATCAGTAATTAGAAAAACTAATATAATTTTTAATGCCAAGAGCAGGAACCGACTCCACAAACAACTCCACAACCTAAAACTAACATTTCAATTAAAAGTACTAATCAAAAGTGTTTTTACAAGTTGAATTTGTACTACAATATCTGTGGATTTTCTAATGCTTTATTCGTAGTACTACTAATGCTACAATTACTACCGATGACACTACTGCCATTACAAATACTACTATTTGTACTATTACTTTTCATATTATACTAAGGCTGCAAAATAACTAACATTTCAATTAAAAGTATTCATCAAAAGTGTCATTACTAGTTGAATTTGAACTACAGTATCTGTGAATATCAGGATTTTCTAATGCTTTATTCCTACTACTAGTACTACTACTACTACAATTACTACTGATGATGCTACTGTCACTACTTCCACTTGTACTACTAATACTACTTTTCATATTATACAAAGGCTGCAAAATAACTAACATTTCAATTAAAAGTACTACTCAAAAGTACCATTACTGGTTGAATTTGTACTACGATATCTGTGAATATCAGGATTTTCTAATGCTTTACTCCTACTGTTACTACTACTACTACTACAATTACTACCAGTGATGCCACTACCACTACAAATACTACTACTACTTTTCATATTATACTAAGGCTGCAAAATAACCAATATTTAAATTAAAAGTATCATTACTAGTTGAATTGTTACTACAATATCGGTGAATATCAGGATTTTCTATGGATGCTTTATTCCTACTACTACTACTACTACTACTACTACTACTACTACTACTACTACTACTACTACTACCACTACTACTACTTTTCATATTATACTAAGGCTGCAAAACGACTAACATTTGAATTAAAAGTACTCATCAAAAGTATCATTACTAGTTGAATTTGTACTATAATATCTGTAAATATCAGGATTTTCTAGTGTTTTATTCCTACTGCTACTACTACGATTACTACCGATGATACTACATGTCATTACAAATACGAGTACTTCTACTACTACTACTTTTCATATTATACTAGGGCTGCAAAACCACTAACCTTTCAATTAAAAGTAGTCATCAAAAATATCATTACTATAATATCTGTGAATATCAGGATTTTCAATGGATGCTTTTATTCCTACTACTACAATTACTGCCGATGATACTACTACCACTACAAATAGTATTATATCTTCTACTACTACTTTTCATATTATACTAGAGCTGCAAAACAACTATTTAAGTTTAGAGTACTCAGTAAAATTATCATTAGTAGTTGAATTTGTACGACAATATCGGTGAATATCAGGATTTTCTAATGTTTTATTCCTACTACTACTACAATTACTACTGATGATGCTACTACCACTACATATACTACTACTTCTACTACTACCACTTTTCATATTATACTAGGACAGCAAAACAACTAACTTTTTCAATTAAAAGTACTCATCATCATGCTTTATTCCTACTACAACTACTACTACTACTACTACAATTACTACCGATGACGCTACTACCACTACTGCTACTTCTACTACTACTACTACTACTACTGCTACTTTTCATATTATACTAGGGCTGTAAAACAACTAACATTTGAACTGAAGTACTCATCAAAAGTATCATTACTAGTTAAATTTGTACTACAATATCTGCGAATATCAGGATTTTCTAATGCTTTACTCCTACTGTTACTACTACGACTACTACTACTACAATTACTACCAATGATGCTACTACCACTACAAATACTACTACTACTTTTCATATTATACTAAGGCTGCAAAATAACTAATATTTAAATTAAAAGTACTCATCAGAGTTACTAGTTGACTTTGTACTACAATATCGGTGAATATCAGGATTTTCTAATGCTTTATTCCTCCTCCTCCTCCTCCTACTACTACTACTACTACTACTACTACTACTACCACTACTACTACTTTTCATATTATACTAAGGCTGCAAAACGACTAACATTTCAATTAAAAGTACTCATCAAAAGTATCATTACTAGTTGAATTTGTACTTCAATATCTGTGAATATCAGGATTTTGAAATGCTTAATTCCTACTGCTACTACCAGTACTACTACTACTACTACTACTACTACTACTACTACTACTACTACTACTACTACTACTACTACTACTACTACAATTACTACCAATAATGCTGCTACCACTACCAATACTACTACTTCAACTACTACTACTTTCCATATTATACTAAGCCTGCAAAATCGAATCAGAATCGCAAAAGCTGCAATAGCTGAAGTACTGGAACAATATACTTCGCGTCTCAGTATTTATCATTTGTACATTTTCTTTGCAA